AAGCTCGCTGGGGGGGGGGGCGCATAGTCGAACAAGTAGAATAAACAGGGTACATTAAGGATTCAGGAAAATCGTAGATTACGTTTTCAATGTTACACGTATGTGTAGCCATAGTAATGAAATAAACGAGTTTCACGACTGAACGTGTTGCTAGTTTCGTGTCATACTCTATGTTGCGAAATAAAAGTACATATTTAAATAAGTAATATGGATGAAGTAACCCATTATGCCTAGCCAGGTCGATAGTGTAGTGTAGACAAGCGCCACTTAAAGATATACCTAATCAGGTAAGTAGTTTAAGCCGAACAGGCTTAAGAAGAGGCGGGCGTTGTTTTTAAATCAGCCAAATAGTGTAGATCAACTATGACCGTTGTGTCGGTAGGTATAAGTATAGACAGACAAGTAGAATAGGTCGAGCGGCCATTATGCCTTGTCAGACAAGTAGTGTAAATCAGCTAGAAACGGTGTGCCTATTTAGACAAGTAGAGTAGACCGAGCGAGTGCTCTGCCTAGTCAGACAAGTAGAATGTAGCGGATAGTTGCCGCGCCTAGTCAGACAAGTAGCGTAGCGAGTGTTATACCTAGCCTTATATAACCTGTTTTATTATTACATTATTATTATCATTATTGTTGTTTTTGTTATTGTTGTTGTTGTTATTATTATGTTATTCTATGTGTATTCTTATAAACACGCTTTAATCTTGTTGATGACGAATTGATCCTGATTTGATTCACCGTTACAACAGGTGATTGCATAAGATTGTATGTGTATTCCATTACTTGTAGCGCGGTCTCCCTCTAAATTCAGATCGCAACTCAGTGGAATCGAGAGCATCGTAAAATCGGTAGAATTTTGAACGGTTATCAGTGGATTTTCAGTAAGAGATCACGAATGAAGATACAATATACATGACATACGATAACTTGAAGGAATCAGGCTCCAGTTTATTTATCACGCATCAAGGAAGTTATAAACTTCATTTGAAACTCGTCGTACGATAGAATTTTCAAGTTCTGTCTATCTAACTTCGTGTTTATGTATGAAAATATTTTCTATACGCGCGTACAGGACGTTTAATTTACGGTTGAAAATTATTTGTACGACGACCTAATTTCATTTTCATATATGTTTGCTGGCGCTCGTTATCGCGACGATTAAAAAGAAGCAGTATTGCCAGAATTTCACAGGGAAAAAGAAACTTGAAAGCAACTCTCCTTTTCCGCTCTAAAACATTCGTTCCATTATCATAGAAACTTATAACCTTTCTCGCGATGAACCAAACAGCCAAAGTATTTCTATACTTACTTACCTTAACTGGATCATTTCTTAGTTACAAATTCCTTCAAACATGAAATGAAACATTTTATCTAAAGAACGCTAAACTTTAAGTAAGTTAAATTTAATTTTACTATATGCAAATGGGATATAACAACACGTACTTCGTACAAGTATAACGATATAGTAAAAGTCGATGAATCCTTGTACAAATAAATCATTAGAAAAATATCTATAATTCAATCAATGAACAACATTATTTAACTACTCTTGCAATTAAGAAATAAAACCCTATGTCAATTGGCAAAATAGTAGAGTCAAAGTATTACAGTATCGTGCGACGTGCTCAATGACAATATTTACCAAGAAACATTTATACATTGAGTATACGTAAAAGCGACGATTCTCCGCCATGCTCTGGGAATTGAACGATTTTTCTTGTTACCTTTTAGCCCCGAGCAGACAGAAATATCCTTCGCGAAACGGTATCTCGATGCGAATTAAAGCGTCGATTCGCAAGTAGATTTCGCGTTCTCGGTGAATTTTATCAAACGATTCAACGATCCAATATTCTCCAATCTGGCAATCGTTTCACCGTGATAATCTCTGAACAGCAACGTCCTTCGGTAGCGTTTCGAAATGGCAAAACAATTTAATTAACGCATCGATAGACCAGGACGTCTCTTCGCACTTCGCAACTGTTGAACCTGTGCGCCTTTGTGGAGAAATTGGAGCAAGGTTAAACGACGAAGAAAAGCGGGAAACGAGGAAAAAGATGGGAAAGGTGAACAAATAGGTGAAACAGTGTGGTATGAAAATATGATAAGTGGTAGTCAGCTGGCAGAGAAGTAATTAACGAAGCTATCCTATATTTCTCGGATCGTTAGAAATCGTAGAAAGTGAGACGGGCTCGCCATTGAAAAACACGAAGCTCGACCGATGAATCGTGACAACGGAAATGAAATTAGCTTGTATCCTCGACCTCGTTAAAATTGCTCGGCGATCGCGGTCTGTTTGTTACCTCGTAAGATCTACGATGTTTCCCGAAACGCCCAGATAAGGAATATTAATTAACCGTGCGACATTTATTCGTCGATAACGTTTCTTAAAGGTCGTTTAAAAAAGACGAGGTAACACGTTTTAGCGAGTTGACAGAAAGACAGATCACTTGTTCTTAGAAATTAGTTAATAGATCTGTTAGTCTTGCTTCTGATCAAAATAGAGTCTCCCCGTTCTATAGTTGACAGTAAAATAAAAACGCTTTAACGAAAAATGATTTCTCTTTTAGAAATTTATCTGATAAGCCTTTATTATTATAAACGAAGCGATGAAAAGAGTATTTGTTTCTGGTTTTTATCAAAGCTGAAAGACTTCCCTCTCGTAAGTTATATTCACGGAAATACAGAAAGATTTCACGAGCAGAATATTCGGATTTTTACGAGTTTTCTGTAGCGTTCACAGACCGGTTCTACAGTCTCAATTCCTTCAATTTTTTGGATTCGGAGTTTCCTGGATTCGGTCCATAACGAAACAACCAGAAAACATTTCCTTTGGGCGCACGAATATCGATAGGAATTAGAAAGTGGTAATAAAAAAAAAATTGAACGAGGAACGAAGAAAAAAGGACTTTGTCTCGTTCAGCCACGCGCGTGACGTTATACATTGTACGCGTATCTATTTAAGTTTGGATGAAAAGCGGAGAACGCACGAAATCTCACGCGATCTTCTCGCATTGTATACACTTTTTTTCCAAAACTGTTGCTAAGCTAAAGAATAAATGGTAGGACAAACGGCAGGATATTAGGTTGACCGATCAACTTTTAATTCTTTATTCTTTAATTCGCAACATTTTTTAGCTCCATCCATGATATTTTTTATCGTTAAATGCAAAGAACTTTTGATTTGTCATTGATATCGTTTTATGTTTTGGAAAATATTCAATTCTTTACTTCGCTATTTTATCCACGTTAGTGTTTAGATAACATTTGCAGAAGATATAACAAAACTTATTTAGCGAGTATTTTAAGGAAACCGTCTTCCGTAATTTCTTTTATTGCAATTTCTCAGCAACTTATTCGAACAACTTTCAACATACGCAATTCTATTTGCTTACCTTCCATGTGTACACAGATTTGCTATCGGCGAATTTGAAAGATCGAACGAACGTCTCGATATTTACCTGGTATAGAGGTTGCAAAATTGGTAGCAAAATTGTGTGGAAATATTTACGTAACCACGGAAATGCTTGCTTAGATGCCTCCCCATTTCAAAACCAAATAGAATACCGCAATATGTAGCGAAACGATTTTCTTACTATTTCTTTATCGACTGATATTTAACATCAACCTGTAAACGTATTGAACGTATACTTGAACGTATTGAAACAATTTTGTTTGCAAAAAATTGATTCGATGAAAAATTAATATTCGATATAAAAAAAACAGCTTCGAAATTCTCCACTAAAAACACACGGCACGTGTTTCAGACGTTTTTCAACTCTCCAAAAAGATTTTATGAATACAGACAAACAAAAAAAGTAGACATTTCTGCATTAAAAAAACAAAGAGAAAGAAATAAATAAATTTCTTTGTCAAGAAAATTTTTTACACGTTTTTCTAAAAATAGATCGATGACTGTGCCCAATCAGCGAACGATTAATTTCCATGTTTTCTTGCGCCCGGCGTCGAGTGTGTCCGTTGCCAATATCCAAAAACACAGACGAGTCGTAGACCTCCTCCTCCTTTGCCGATGTATTCGTGTTACAATTCTTAGTTACGGATCCAGGAATAAACAGGATCTCTTGGAACGGGAACACGATTCGAGCGGGAACAGGGAAAAAAGGTGGGAAATTGTGCGAAGAAATTGTGTCGAATATTTCGAGGAAATTGAACGAATCGTTGGAAATTTTGTGGCTCCTTCGGACGATATTACGCAACATCGAAACACAGACATTCTGCTGCATTTCGTCGTGCTCCTCCTTCTCTCCCATTTTTCCATCCCAATATTTTTTTCGTTTTCGATATTTTTCTTCTTTTTACGCTGACCCAGATTGTATGGCGCACACATAACACGAACGCGTTTGATAGCACGTACGTACGCGTAATTTAACTTTGAAATCGAAATTCATTTTTTTTGCATGTTGGGGGGTAAACGTTCCGCTAGCTGGTTAAAGGGAACTGTTGGCTTTGTTTCTCTTTTAAATTCGAGTTATCACTGGACGGGTTTACGAGTGAAAAAATGGTCAATTAATTTAGAAGACCGTTGCGATAGAAAGGAAAGGCGAAAAGAAAAAAGTGTAGCATATTGGATAAGTGACAGCGATGGGATATTGCGTTGTTTCGTGGCAAGAGGCATCATTTTTTCTATAGAAACTTCTTTTACATGCGTGTAATACACATACGTGTATTTTGAGAAAGTCCGTTTTATCCAGGAACGGAGAAACAAAACGACAGGTGGAAGAAATCGAATAAATTCTACTCCAACGATGCTTCTAACGAATACAAATTCTGTTTCAGGAGTTTAACGTTGCCAAGGAACAACACGCAGTGCAGCCATGCTCCTCCGTGGTCATTGAATCAGGTAAGATTCTTCGCTAGAAAATTAGTATAACACAAACCTTTTCATCTTCGACGATCTCGCTATATCGCAACAGTCTCTTCCATCCTTACATTGAAAATTACCAATCGACAAGAGATACCAGTTCTTCTGTCACGCTCTAAAATTATGAAGGACCTTAGCCAGAGAAATCCTACGATTTATAGCGGGTCTTTAGGCTAGTTAAAAATATGCTATGAAGATGTTTCGACATCATTGGTTATCGTCTTGTCCGAAGGATAGGGTGTTTGCGTAGACAGACAGAACGTTACAGAACACGGGACAGAAATCGTTAGAAAGTTTTCTGTCGAGTGCCGCTACAGAATTTGATTCTTTTCGTGTGATTCGTTTCATGTGATTTCTGTCATTTCAGAATAGAAATACGACAATTATAATAAAAATACATGTAAATTTGTCAAATCACACAGTGTCACCAATGTAAACTCACAACAACGCTTGTATCAGACCTCAACGCTTCACGTTCTACCGGTCCACCGCGCTTCGACCACATTTTTGGTCATAAAAAAATATCACTGCGAGAATACTGAAATTTCTGATCAATGGTGTTAGAGAGTCTTCGAAAGGTTAAGTGGAACGTAATAATAGAGTAGACGGGGACTCATTGATCGTCGCTTCGTTACCAGCTTCGTCAATATTGCCTGTAAACGACATTACATCTAATTACCATCTGAAACAGGGAGCTTGCCGCATCAAAGTCGAAGCTATCCTGGCGGCGGTGGCGGATCCGGAAGCATGGGACGATTGTTCACGAGAAATTCGTCGGTGAGCTCGCAGAGCTCGTTGGAAGGTGCGCCTGGACCGTCCATCCATCGCACTGGAACTTCGACCCAGATTCGACCATTTGGCCCTGATGGACGGTACCACCATCATCGGGACCCTTTGCACGCTGCTTCTTCTTATCCACCCAGCAGGAGTTCGAGGTATGATTTAATTAAAGATATAATCGAATAACTTGACAACACAAAAGAGCTTTTTTCTGCCAATCTCGATCAAGCCCGCTACTCTGCATACGAGAGACTATTTATAAAATGTAAAACGATTTTGACGTGAAATGATTGAACAAAGTTGCACGACAAAATCTTTCCTGCATATGGTTATATTCTACATGAAAGATTCGTTTCGCGTTATTTGTTTCTTTCTTGGCAGACGAATAATTATAAGCGGTAAACGTTCTGCGTTATATAATGCATCGAAATTAAACGTTTCCATTAGAATTATTAAACGACACTGGACGAATGTCCGAGTTTTCGTTGAATCCATGAAATCTTGTTAATTACTCGGGCATAGCCGAGGCATGACGGGTCGGGGCATAACGAATGTTTAATGAACTCTTAATCTGACAAAGCGATCCTCGAGAAAAGTTTGGCCAGCTAGCTTTTTCGGCTACTCTCGATTAAACGAGACAGATTTTTCAAGAAATATATTGACGGCGTTCAAGAACTTCTCAATTAACCGTATAGTACAGTAATATCGGACTTGATTAAATTTTATCATATCGTAAAATATTAAACAGGGGTATATTTATAAATTGAGTTGCCACGATAAAATTAATAAAAATAAGTCTTTAATTTACCACAAGGGATCGATCTTTGTATTATTGCTCGTTATCGTTATCGTTATCGTTATCGTTATCGGTACCACTGTTTCAAAGTACATGTCGTTAAACATCGATTTTTTATTAGTCGTTCATTGGCCATTCACCGCACCCGTCATCTTCGTCTATATTATTCGTAATTGATTATATAACGAAGAAGAATTGACACGCACCTTGCACTCGATTGCGAAACGCACAGATCACCATCACCTGGACGTGCAGCATCGTTAGATGCACGCTGTGGGAGTCCAGCCAGTTGTTCGGGAAGTCTTCTGAGCAACAATGCGTCACCATCTCAGAGCTCTTTGTCGTCTCTGGCAACAGGTGTGAGCTCCTCGTGTGGTGGTTCCTCGATAAGCGTTGCCCACGTAGCTTCCAGATCAGCTGGTCGAAGTCTTTCACCTCTTCTTATTCCACCATCACGCATTTCTGCAAGGTGAGGTATTCCCGGATCATTCCGTGATCAGTCGATGATCGTTATTTGTCGTTTAAAATCTATGCGATGTAATCTTGAACGTAATCGATTAAAGACGTTAAGTTCCATTGATATAATCACAGTTTGATCGTGCATGGCTGAATAAATTATTGATTTTTATTTTGCTTCTCGCAATCATTTCCCACCTATATAATCTTTTTATCCGAAAAAGAAATCTCCGTTATAAGGATTACCTTTGATCTATAATCTTGAAACGTAATATGTACTCCTTTTATGCAACAGCGAAGGTGGACCACCTCCCCCAGCATCACCACTCGGTTCCATACAACCTGATCTTTACCAACGAAGAGATGGACCTATTTATCTTAAGGCTCGAGGGTACGTGTAAAAGATTTTATCATCCAACGCGTAAATATTCGCTTTCCTTCTTTATTTCTACATAAGAGAGCACGGTTAACACGAATAAAATTTATTAAACGTTCAACCAACAAAGTCTATCGATATTAAATTAATTTTATTCGATGATTAAATCAATAGAATTCACAGTAGTATATATGTATACGTATAAAAATCTAAAGGTCGTAACTTTAAAACGATATTAACATCCTGTGCGTGCTCGTAACACGCCAACTCACGTCGCTACAGTTGTTCCAGAAACCAGTTAAAGAAAACATGGAGTATAATCGGATCGCGATCGTATTCCCGTTAAATCATTCGATACCATTGAAACGTTATGCTTCTATTATTACGCGCCATCATTTATCGTGGACGTTTAATATCTTCATACGATCGAAACACAACGCAACTTTAGCCCACTTTACAGATACGCATATTATATTTGCATATACGCACGACCTACATGTCCATCTATTCCTGCCCGGAACATGCAAAGCACCTAAAAGGATAAGCACCTACCGGATATACTGCAATCTGATACGAAAGTCAGCTGTTTTATTTGACTTGAACGCGAGACACGGGGATGATCAATCCCCTGGTCAATAGGCAAAGAACGCGTTAATGCTTCTTCGTATTACCGCGTCTGCTAATTGGAACGTGTACCAATGTATACGACTAAGCAATGTGCGCACGTAGATCCGTGTTTATCGTTAAATACGATGCAACCTATTCGACGCCGAGTGAAAATAACTGATTGATAAGTATTTCGAGCTTGATTCGAAATAGAAACAAATATTTAGAATTTTATGTTCCATTTGATTGCGATACGTTGTTCCGATTAAATCCAACGTATGGAATTTTACATAATTTGTACGACATCGATCGGTACGAGCTGGAACAATTTGAAATCACTTTGCCCCTATCGGATCTTGTTCAGATTAATTAGCTTACTCGAGATCAAGCAATCTAAGAACGTTCGGTCTGCCGGAATTTGTTATTTACTTCAAGAAAAATATATGCTCTCAAACTCTCTTATTACTCTCGTTCAAACTCTGCCTCGTTTCAATTCAAGCACCGGAATTCGCTAATTTAAACGAGGCTCTTTAGAGCGCCAAAGTTCGTTCAATTATATATTGCGTAACTTAAGAAAAACAACGATCGTCGTGTATAATATCATCTTCGGTTTTACGCTTGTTAATATTGGTTCTCCAACTCGAGTCAACTTAACATACATCCACGATACATTTGCACGAGGACACGTGTCATTCGAATTCAGATCACTCGATACAGATACGTTCGATAAGAAACGAATAGAAGTGGAAATAACGCGCGTCTTCGTGCTGGCTGTCATTTTAGAAATGGAAAGAGTTTAGGCCGGCTGCATTTGCGATTCAAATACGACTTCGATCGATCGGACCTGCATGTACACCTGATCGAGGCTCACGACCTGGCTGGAAGTGATCAAGGAGGATTCAACGATCCTTACGTGAAGCTGACGCTCAGCCCTGAAGTGGATTCGAGAAAACGACAGACACAGATATACCGTAACGAGGCGAATCCGTTCTTCGACCAACAATTCAAGTTCCCCGTCAGCAACGACGAACTTCAAGACAGGACCCTAGTTTTACAGGCAATTGACGCATTATTACCGTGTTAGCTATTAAGTTCTATCATAATAAATATCGCAAGTATTTTTTTTCCATTTTACTTTTACTTTTATTCGATATATCAAAATCAAACAACAATGCGACAATTATCTTCGTTTGTGTGTTATTTCGTTGGAAAAAGTGGAATCTGTTACGTTTGTTTCATTGGTTTGATAACATTCGTAATGCAATAAATTATCTCGATATAGCAAAAACATCGGGTTTCTACGAAATTGAAATCAATAGATTTATGTAAATGGAGAAACAGACGTATCAAATTCGGATGGTTCTTACTTTGTTTCAAAACCTTTATCTTCGATTAAATTGTACTGGTATTATTCGTCTCTCTTTGGTGCAAACACAGTTCTATTTAAACACTATATTTTTTGACATTTAATTTTTTCTTAATTTTCCTTTCGGCATATGAAAAGATTTTTTGTAATATGTCATCGACCCTAATATAGCAGAAATATTATCAGAACCTTCGATCAACGAAGGCTAATGTTTCGTTAACATTTATTACGATACGAGTTATAAATTACACGCGCGCAAATTTTTCACGTTACGCGCACCAGAAAATCGGTGATTTAATCGAGTCAAACTTTTTCTGTCTGACAGGTGCTCGATTACGATCGTTTCTCCAGGAATGACATAGTAGGTTCTGTCAAAGTGCCGCTAAATATTTTACGATTAGATTCTCCTACCTCGACCGAAGAAGTTTGGGGAGACATTGAACGTGAACGGAAGCCACCCGAACAAATTCAAGAAGTCCTACTGTCGCTCTCTTATCTGCCCAGTGCCGAACGATTAACAGTACAGATTTTGAAGGCGCGAAATCTGTTTCCACCACAGGTAACTCGATCGAATTTACCAAATTTCCTTGTTACTTTATTTACATATTTTAGTAATATTTTAGTTCTACTTTTCGTCCTCTAATTTTCCCATCAACTTTTGTCACTTAACTTTGGTTCGTGCGACTATTAAAACGTTAATCATTTTCGTTTCGTTTCGTTTCGTTTCGTTTCGTTTCGTATCGTTTCGTTTGATTGCTGATTCCGTTTTTAATCGATCTCTGAAATTGACGTCTCTTCTTGCTGTCGTTCGTTTGCGTCATAAAAGATATCGACAATTTGAGCATTTTCATATTCCACGTGACGCGCCTGATTGTGTTACGCAGGACAAAGAAACCTTAGATTCCTTCGTGAAAGTAAATCTCCTTTGCGGAGAGAAGAGGGTGAAGAAGAAGAAAACTGCTGTAAGAAAAGCGACCACCAGTCCCGTTTGGAACGAGGCAATGTCCTTTAATGTTCCTGCCAACTATCTTGCATCGTCAGCCATCGAGGTAGATATACGTGCAACGTGTTTAATCAAGCTTTTCTAGTTCCACCGTAATGCAGGCTCTCGTATCGTCGAGTAAATAAAACCATTGTCCTGGTGAGGAGCAATTTCAAAGTGTTTTACACGAAGATCATATCGATTTCATATCGGAGGAATAATTTAAATCAAACTGATTCAAAGATATAATGTCCGTCGCCTTTCGTAAATTTCGTTGTATCTGTGACATTTTATAAAAAGCTATTCCATTAAACCAAAAATCGGAGCAAAATTTTGTTGAACTAACAGGGAAATGCGACTGAAATTTTCTTGTTTTCTTTCACAAAACCTTGGAGATTTGTTTGAAACAAAATCCTATGCATTTAATAAATACAGATTTTATGAATCGTTTCCTCGATTATCTTATCTTATTGTTGGAAAATAATACGATTATATCGATCTTCCATTAAAGTTTTCACATACTTGCAATTTCGTATAGAATAATCTATTATTACACATGGTGAATAAAAGATATTAAATATATTAAAAAGATATTAATTAATTCGAAAAAGAGTCTTGAATTCGAGGCACACGATTTATCTTCTGGACCACTGTCAGATGTCGGTGGGTTGTCCCATTGAAAATATTATTTAAATCAACGGTTCGTGTATTGATATGCGTAACAAAATTCCACGAGGCTGAGCGTTCGAACTATATTATACGGCTCTCTGTAACAAGAGAGAAAAATCACATTTTCAGCAGCATGGGAAAAATTTAATTTTCAATTTTTATGTTGCGAAACGTAGCTCGCCGTTTTTTTCCTTCTCGTCAAAGATCGTGTGAAAATTAAAATAAAAATCGTATTAACGAAAAAATTCAACACACTTTGCAACTTTGTTTAGTAGCTCGAGATATTAAAATTGTTCGATAATCGACGTACGTATTGGCATAGTACGTGTATACGTTCGATTTTTCTGTAATTCGAGTGTGATAAAAAAACAAAAAAAGAAACAAAAAAAAAAAGAAAGGAACAAAGTTACAATATAGTCATGTATGTATGTATCAGCTATTTCTATTTTGACATTATTTGTCCTGTGCATTTCGAACAATTTTCCAATAACATCTGTTTCGTTTAATATCGACGAATCTATCTTAAATTAAGTATAGAAGAATAAAAAATGACCATCCTTTTTTGACCTTAATAAGGCTATCGCTATAGATATCGATATAGTTAACTAAAAGTATCGAATTCCATTAAAATTAAATGATATTCAAACGATATAAAAATTAAAATGATATTCAAAAATTTCGTTTCACGAATAATTAGCTCCGAGTACGACTTTTTCATAAGATATACGTAAAATATTCATAAGATATTCGTTAAATACAAAGTTCCTTATTTCTATGTATGTGCGTACTTTTGTAAAATACAGTCAAGTTATTTTACACGCGATAGACACCATCTGCTTTGCATCGAATATTTCGAAAGCAATGCCTCCGCAGCCATTTCCACGAAACGTAAAACTCTGCAGTATTGTTCTCGGGATCACGCAACCTTGCCAACTATAAACGAGTTCCGTCGATTACAAGTTATTGATTTACATCATAGGGTCGCCTACAAAACCTAGCAACAATTTAGAAAACACCGGATCCTCGTAGAGTTGAATTCCGATCAATTCTCGCAACTTCGGTCGTGAACAATTTTCATCGATACGTTTTTATTTGTTACTCGGCGGATATAGACTTTGAACGTGAGTCGTTAGTGAAATTTTGCAGCAGTGACAAATTTGTATCTTAGATCCTGCAAAACTACAAGATCGTATTGAAACGTATACACAAGCCGATAATCATAAATAAAGAAATTTCATTAGTCTAACAATTATGAGAAACGAATTAACTTGCCACTCGAATTGATCTCACCAATCTTTCAAATACTAAATAACGATTGCTTTATTTAGGGATCTCTTATTATTTTATATGTCGTTCTCTTTCGGTTAGCAAAGATTATATCGTATTTACCGTCATTCTATAATCATAATAGTACTTTCTGCAAGATGATGATTTTGTCAAAAGATGATCTGTTAACAAACGTATACGTACGTATAACAACCACGTTGAGCAAACGTAGCGCTACGGTTAAATAGTTTTTTCATGCAAAAGAAGAAAAAGAGAAAGAAAGACAATCAGGAAGCATCCGTAGAACCGACCAGTCGTCTCTTAAAACTATACAGAGAGAGAAAAAATAAGTAGAGAACGTGGACTAGACCTACTATTGTATTACAGGATTAACAATGGTAAATTGAACGGTCAAATGTGTGATTTACAAAACCGCAGCGATATCGCGTCTCTCGTCTACGCTAAACGCTACGCTAGTAATAACGAAAAACAGAAGTTCCTGCTTATACTATCCTTGTGGAAACCTGTACTAGTTGAATAGAGAATTTATTTGCTTCGTGAAATCGCGTGTTTACATAGCGAGTTGGCGAAATGTCGGTCGCGATTATCGACGAGCGTTCTGTCGCGTCCGGAAAAAAGCCTCGAAGAGAAAAAGAGCAAACAAGAAAGAGGCGACCTTCGTAGTCGTACGACGAGTCTAGACTGAATATCGATGAACTTCCGTGGTTTTTTGTAAAAATCCTCAACGATGATTCTCGAGTCAAGCGACCGATCCAACGTTGCAAAATAGGCAATTCCAGCCGATTGGAAACTTCAGAATAGTCTTATAGACTCGCTATCTTTTCTTTCGCGTGATCACGTTTTGCTCTAAAATTTTGAAGCTCGTGGAATATGCATGATCAGATATATATCGTACAACGATAGTAAAGATTTATAGATCTTTAGAAGGCTATTCATAGATGAAAGAAAATTTGTTGTTCGCTGAAACTTTTACGATGGAACGGAGAGTACATTCTCAAACACTTGTCACAAATCTGTAAATATTTTCTGAAGTAAAACGAAATGTAATGGTATAGGAAGTATAGGATGTATAGGATGTATAGGATGTATAGGATGTATAGGAAGAAAGTTAAATGGAGGAAATAAATTTGCAAAAGTAGTCCTTGCGACTCTAACATGCAAGTCTCTATATTACGAACAAATAGCGATTCATCGTTCATCAAACGAAACATCATTATTGGAAACGGATTGAACCCAGTGACGAGATATCGATAGATCTAATTGCTACATCCATCGATTTTGATACTCGGAGTATATTCCTGAAAAACATTTTCATCGTATGTAAAAAAAAAAAAAGAAAAGAAAAAATGGGAAAGATTCAAATTGATAAAATAATTGAACTAATTCTTTCGCAAGGTATGTGTGATGGACTCGAGCAACGAGTTTATCGGAGGGAACGTGATCGTCGGTTCCTGTATCGTTGGTCCAGCCACAGGAGTGATTCGGGGAGTGGAAGGAAGCGGAAGTCAAGGAAGAGAGCACTGGCTTCATATGACTCAATCACCGAGGAAAACCATCGACATGTGGCACACGTTACACTAAAAGAAACAGAAGAAGAGAAAGGAGTAGAAAAGCAAAAGAATCGATCGATGTTACGTTCGTCGCGTACCGTTTTCTAAAAAAAACAAAACGTGGCCATTTTATGGGAACGTGGACACAATTTCTTCTTTATTCCTTTTTGTTTCGCTTCCTTGCCGGATTGCGAAGGGAAGAGTACAATCAAAAAGCATAGGATAAATAATCGGTAAATGGTATATGTAAACGACAGTAGCAGTGTTATATATGTGAAACCGCTTTTATGGATGTACTCGAGACCACTAACGAATAAGAAAACCGCGAAAAAAATACATCGTTATTGTCCGTTTCAGCGAATCGCAAGGATCGATGTCCCTCGATCCTCGAGAATCTATTAATACGATATTTCACTGTACCAGATTTTCCGTAGGTTTACTATGACCTTCGAGATTGAATCGTCTAACCTAGAGGAAATGGTACGTATTGTGAGATAAACAGTTCGTTTATTCATAAACAGGGAATCGTGTCACAGCAAGTGGATGGGAGAATATTTTGAAGGAAGGAAGAAGGAGAAAAATTTGCGTATGGAGGAGACAATCGTTTCGTATATACACACTACGTATTTGTATTTGGTATTTGTATAATTTGTTTCTACTGGCGGCTAAATGTACCTTACACAATCAGCAAGATAATTATTCTATTCGTGGTAACGAATATGAGTGATAGTAGATAATCGTGCTTCAAATGATAAGAAACACATCACCGTACTTTCCGTTACACAGTACAGTAATGAAATTATTTGCTCGAAGTAATTTCAAGATAAGACGTTCGAAGGGTGATTTCAACTATAAGTAAATAAGATGATGATAGGATAAAAGGTAAAAATGAACAAAAAGAAAAAAAAAACAACTAAAAGACAGGAGAGAAAAGGATGAATAATTTGGTAAATGATATGTTTTTCTAGTCCTAATGTGATTTTTATTATAGTCTGAAACCACTCCGGTGATTTCAGACTAGTATACATACATATGTACTTCCTAGGCCTAAGTTTGTACTATGCAACAAAACTGACCTCAGAGAAGTACAAGGCGTGCGTGGATGCGCCATTGAATAATTACAAACGAACCGAAAGCCTAATGAAAACGATTCTCCTCCGATAAATATAGTATAATCGCGTTATCGTTGTTAATGTCGTAATTATTTACGAGTACATAAGCAGCAACAGAAAATGCAAAAAAAATTGTCGCGTGTACTATTATCGTGTAACGTTCGTTCAGACACAAGTCTTAAATACGGATCTTCTGAAATACTACTGAATAATAGAATATATATTTCTCGATTTATTACGTTCCTTTCTCACACTTTTGCTAGGCATACAACACCGCTAAAGAGTTCAAGAGAAATAGATAAATACAGAAACAAGAAGTCAAGTTCTATGTATTTAATAACGAAGTCTGATTTATACGAAAGATAACGAGGAAGGACAAACAAATAAAGAAAACCAAATGAAAATGTGAACATTTCCGACCAAAGTTTATCATATCATATATACCGATAATTTTGAAAATTTCAGAGCTTATATCTATTTATTGTTAATTTAAGAGAGTTCGACTAAGGAACCTGCCGTACTTATAAATATTTTAGGCTCGTACATACGTGTATTACAGCGATTAAAATGTTTTTGATTCGTTGGCTGCGAGAATACTAATAATGTGACAAACGTTACCTGGTGAAAAGAAAAAATTAAAATTCGTTAAGTATGTTGTAAGTAAATATAAATATATGTTATATAAACATATATATATATATACATGTAATGGTATATGATTACGTAACACGTAACAGTTGGTGAAAATGAAAAAAAGGTTTGTTGGGAAGAAACGCTTAGCTAATTATGAGCGTGGTCCGAATCGTACGCTTAACTTATACTTAACAGTATTTCTATTATATTCCACATACATGGTATTTATATTAAAAAAAAAAAAAAAGACATATATGTACACATATATTCATATTTTATTTATATACACATTTAAGATATATATATATATATATTATATATTTATATATCTTATATGTATATATTATATACATATAAAAATGTTCTTGTACGTATACCGTATAATAAAACAATCATTTTGGGTGTCTAATACAATACGCGCGTCTAACATTCCGAATATACTTGTAATAGCTGTGACGGCATGTAACGACTACGTGAATTTCGTGTTTCCGCATTCATCATAAATGATGAAACAGAATCTCCGTAAACGCTACATTTTTATCGTATTTCTACCATTAACTTTCATGCGCCTATTTCAAGAACGATCTCACGCGTCGATTATTTCTTGCTACTTTTCAATACAATACATAGATGGACACCCCCTTGTCGGACCTGAATTTGCCTTGCACGATAATATTTAAACCAAATAAAAATGCTCGCATCTATCGCGATTCCCAGTGGTTAGAACTACTCGATGATACTATTTGCATTATGATCGTTGTACAAATAATAATTGATGAAAGAAATAAGGTTTATGGTATTGCGGGGCGATCGATAAACAAGGCAGAGAAACAGTTTCCACAACTGATTTTCTGCACGTCTCGAAAATGTCTCTAGTCTTACTAACGTCGTAAAGAATGTGCAATGTGTCCTAAATGTGAAGTGTAATCGATATTTTCTTGTAATGTATCCTCGTGATTCGATTTAAAATAAAGAACTACTAATATCCATCAGAATCGTATATTTCATTTCATCTATATATTAGAAACGAAGTGTAGGGTGTAATAGAAAGAAATTGTAAAAATTTGTACGGATATGATGGATTTTATCATTTTTATTTACATTTTGTTTCGTTATGGATCTCAAAATTATCGCGCATCATTAAACATATATTATTATTACAAACATTGTTTCATCTCTACAATAAATAATACAAAACATCCCAAATTTTTTTATTTATACGCACTATGAGATCAAGCTATAATACATTTTCTACAGTTGTTGAAATTATACACCTGCAATAATCTTTTATGCTATTAAAATGTCGAATTTACATTTGTTGTCAAATTCTCTGTAGAAAGATCGACAAAATCTTTCGCACCTTTGCGTCGTATTGATAACGCTATATTCGCACCATTTTTATACCATTTGACTTTAAGTAATACGCAACATCCCTTTTCTATAAAAACACAGAAACAATATTTCATTAAAATTTGAAAAAATTGTTTTTAAATATTAGTAATAATTTACATACCTAATTGACCTCGTTCATGAGCAGCAGCTAATTGGTTAACAACGCGTCTTTCAATTTCGTACTTAATAGAGCGTGCTCCGTAATGAGTGTCGTATCCTTCGGCTAAAAGTGACAGAACTTCTCTATTCCATTTCAATTCTATCTTATGCCTTTTCTTCGCACGATCTGCCCAAGTTTCCAATTCTTTTACAACTAACGATATAAGTTCAGATTGAGAAAATGGTAAAAAGTATACGATTTCATTTATTCTACCCAAAAACTCGTCTCTACCAAAGTGTGACTTCAATATCGGCCTCACCTGTGAAGAGGACATGTTTTTTTTTTTTAAATTCGTTCTAAAAATGTTAAAAAGATATCTTAAAGAAATCAATACATACTACTTCGTCTTTAAATTTACGAGATATTTCAATGTGTTCTGGATCCTCCTCTGTGTCAACGTTCTTATCCAGTTTTTGCTCCATTACACGTTGAGCTTCTTCTCTAAGGTGTACCGCGTGATCAGCGATTACTTCGCTTGCCAAATTTGATGTCATTATAAAAATTGCATTTTTGCATTCGATTGTTTTACCTTTACCGTCAGTGAGTCTTCCCTAAATAAATATTTAGATTTTCATTTTGATCTAATATTTTAATGTCATATATTCGATAAAACACACAGAAGTAATCATACTTCATCGAACAATTGTAACAAAACAGTCAGTACATCGGGGTGTGCTTTATCAACCTCGTCAAATAATACAACAGCATTTGGACATTTCCTTAAAAGTTTTGTTAATTGTCCACCGTCATCATGGCCAACATATCTAATCGATACAATAAAAAAGAAGAATAACTGGTAGGTTATGTTTGTAATATCTGAAATATACATATAGCGTGATAAATAGGAATAAAATTCACCCTGGTGGCGCACCAATCAGTTTAGCAACTTCATGTTTCTCTTGATACTCTGACATATCCAATCGAATAAATCCCTCCTGTTTATTTTTATGTATATATGCAGCTAATTGCTTAGCCAATTCGGTTTTTCCAATTCCTGATGAACCTAAGAAAAGAAATACTAAGGGATGTTTTTCATCTATCCATCCATTCTCTTTCCTTCTAATGGCTGCAATTACACAGAGTATTACAAAAAGTATTATATACGCCTTATGTTTATATATAAATTATTAAGCGTATAAGATAAATCTTACTAGATGCAACGATAGATATTGCTCCAGTTTGTCCAACGATATACTGTCTCAAACGTTGCTCTAGTGGAAATCTACGACGTTCTTCTAATTCCTGTTTACAATATCAGGCAAAAAAATGGATCAAAAATAGTACTATATAAAAATCAAAGCTTGATTTTAATCATATGTACTTTTTCCTTCATTATTTCATCATATTTTATCGCACGTTTTATAAGCATTTCTTTGAGTTCTCCATCTTTAGCATATTCTACTGCTCTATGTCCTGATTCATTTTTCATTGTTGGATCGGCTCCTGCTTCTAATAATGCTTGTACACAAGGCTTAGAGTCTGCTAAAACAGCATAATGTAATGCTGTAAAACCTTTGAAAGTGGCCCTACTATTCAAATGATCGCAAAATTCTTCCTCCCTTATCATGAGCACTGGAAATTTGGAAATGTATGCAATATCTTGTAAGATATGAATAATATATACAACTATGCCATTTTTATTTAATTATTATAATTTGTTTCAATCTTGTACCATCCAAAGTATGTAATCCTTTTTCTATAGCAGTTCCATAAACATTAATGAATTCATCTTGAAGATTAGCATCTGCTCCGTGTTTCAATAAAAGTTTCACAACCTCTGGTTTTGCATTAATAGCAGCAAGATGCAATGCTGTCCAACCTAATGGATGGCGCATATTTACATCAATACCTTCTTTTATAATCTACAAACCAACAGTTTCTTAGTAATTGATACTGTAATGAAATATCTGTTTATACTCACATTCGTTAACTCTCGAATATTGCCATATTTTGCAGCCAGAAAAAACTGTTTATCTAATAAAAAATATTGATAGTAAATGGATGTTTATTCCATGTAATTACATATACAAAGACATATCTTCTTTAATAATATATACCTCTGTGATTTTTGGCTTCGCAAAGAGCTATGGTTATACCAATACCACCCAGTATAAATCCTATGTTTCTGAAATTTTTTTTTTCATCATTAATGTCATATTTATTTCGTAAGACTTTCATTCTTCTTAATAAAGGACGAATTTCCTTCGATTTAAGTATATCCAAAAATTTGTATAATGGATACATGTGTTCCTGAAGTTTCCAATAGAGCTGGGCATAACCTTTATCATTTTGATGGAATACACTTTTTATTTCATTTGCTGTCCATAAATTTCCTTTATTCATCAGAGTTGTTGAATTTTTATTCTTTTTTATAATTGAACAAAATCGTAAATTAAACAGACGCGACATTTTACAGATGTGGATATCATGTACTTATGCGTTTGGACCGTATGATTTTTATATTACACGATTATATCTACTACTTATTACTAGTATATCGATATATGAATTCATTGAATAACTGCCAATAATTCATATAATAATGCAGTAATACAAATCGCACTATATTTACGTTTTTGACCGCTTTATTTCAAGACTGCTTTAAACCACGCTCTCGTATACAAACGCGACATAACATGCAACATTTTATGAAATTAGACTGACGTACAACATAATATATACATACTTAAGGAAGCAACTTTTTCTCCTGATTATATACGTAAATATAGTCGACATAAGTAATTTTATTAGAACATAACACACAGTTTGCACATACATATAAAATATAACATATACATATAATGTTTACAATTAGAATTCTATGTAATAGTAATAATTGTAATATATGTGTGATTATATACATATATATATATATATATATACATACATATATATATACATATACATATATATATATATACATATACATATATATATATATATACATATATATATATACATATATATATATATATGTAGGTATATATAATATATATATATATATATATTACGAAATATCACCCATTAATTCCACATATAACTTTACTATAATCAAAAAATTGTAACGGTGTAAAAATTTGTAAAATGACGTTGTTTAACATATTCAATTACAGTAATTCAAAATTTGTTTCACAACAGACATACAGTCGTGCAAACCAATCATACTCGTGCGCAAAATTTGCTATATATAAATTCAAAATCTGCGAGAAACGATACGCGGGGAGAAAGAAAATGTAATAGCATAAATTCTTCTAATCGATTATTTGTATATAGACATGGTAATTTGTAGCAAAATAATGTTGTATATCGATCCATTATTTTCGATCCTTCGAGAAATGAAACTGACTATGTCTAAGAGGAAAATTCCAATGGCGCATAATTCCAGAATGTTCCAGAGCAGCCGACTGACCAATAGGAATCGTATACCGCAGCGCCATGATTGGTGAATTTTCAGCAGAAGTTAGCAGAAAGAAGTAATCACAGTTACCGTGCGGAGAGCATTTCGTTCAGACTATTGCGTGAGTGTAGAGCGAGAATTTATCCACCGTACACGATAATTATTAACGCGAAATCTATACGACTATCAATCAATCGTCCATCCTTGTCCAGGATCAACGTTTAATCTTTGATTTACGCAAGATAGTATTATTCAGTGTCGTAAAGAAAACGTCGTACCCAGTCTCAGCCATGGCTGCTATGTCCGTGATCGGAATTGACTTTGGTAACGAAAGCTGTTATGTGGCTGTAGCACGGGCGGGAGGCATTGAAACTATAGCTAATGATTACAGTCTTCGAAATACACCGTAAGTTTCTTTTATTATAATAATCGATACCTAATTTTTTCTCTTATGTAGAAAGATACCGGTGCTCACCCGGTATCTCCGAGTATTTCTCTTGTTTCGCTGATTTACGTGAAAATTTTACGTAAAAATAGTAGAACAATTTAAAAGTAGTAATACATAATTCATTTCTGTACAAGTAGTATGTAAAGTAGATGATGCGGTATTCGATCATTGCCATTTATGTTCAAATCGTTTTATCTACTTAAGCATACCCGCTTACTTTCACATGACTAAGAAGTACAAAAAAGTCCATAATGTAGTTATGGTCCACGAGCTATTTTTTCTTTATTTGAATTTGGCGTAGTCATGTAAAACGGAATCAACAATCGATTTAAGTCAGAATAAATGTAGTGAATAAAACGTGACGTTACTACTTACTACTACTACTATTACCACTACTACTATTACTTTCCCAGTTTCTTTGTGTACAAAATGTATACGAATTGTTATTTTTTTTACGTTTGAGTTATCGAAATTTATATCCGAACATGACGAATTTATATGTATTACTTGTTTGTAGATCGATAGTATTTGATAATTGTATTACTACATAAATAAATTGTTATGATATTTGTTATATTTTTTTTTTTATCTAATATTAATATCTAATAAAATATGAAAAAGAAATATCTGTAAAAATAAAGATATTAAAGTGTATGTAATAATTTGATATTTTCATTATTAATTGTTAAAACATTAAATATAACTTATTTTTATTAATTCTGTTCTTATATAAATGTCATGTTATTAAAATTTACGTTTTTAAAATAAAAAAAACTGATATTTTTCATGCATGTATATAGGTGTTTTATTATTAATTTCTCCTCTCATAATTTTATAATCTATAATATTTTATTAGGTTTTTTACTGAGAGAATTAATAAATTGAAAATTGAAAATTTTTGTGTTCTTTAACATATATATACTTCAGTATGAAAAGCAGACTTCCAGGATGATTAGATTATTCTAGAAATTATGTAGAATATTGTATGATGTACACATGCTTGTTCAATATTATGTGAATTTTATGCATGCTGTGGTAGGTGAAATTTGTATTTATATAAATATTGATTTTAGATCATGTGTAGCATTCAGTGGGAAAAATCGAATTCTTGGTGTAGCTGCTAAGAATCAGATGGTGACCAATATGAAAAATACCATTCATGGATTTAAAAGATTATTGGGTAGAAAATATAATGACCCACAGGTACAAAGAGAGCTTCAGACATTACCTTTTAAGGTAACTCATCAGTCAGATGGAAGTATTGGTATACATGTAAGTTGTTTTTAGATATGGAATTATTTCCTTTCTATTATATCTCAGCAATAAAATTGAATGATTTATGGTTATGTTACTAATATTTCATAACATATATAGCTATTTTATAAGATTGTAATAATTATTGTATTAACGTGTCAAAATGTTATGGGAAAATAATATGATTTTTTGTAATTATTTAATGTGATATTAGACGTTACTTAGATTCAATCTGGGCATTGTGCCAGATTTCTCACATTTATAGGGACTCATATCTTATTTATATCTCTTTAGAGCAGTTAAAACACGATGAATCATATCATATATAATTTGTACAATAAAAACTATAATGATAAAAGTAATTATGTAACAAGTACAAAGCAAAGATATTTATACTTATTTCTAAATTTTAGGTACAATATTTAGGAGAGGAACACATTTTCTCACCTGAGCAAATAACTGCAATGTTATTTACAAAATTAAAAGATATATCTGAAACTGCTCTTCAAACTGTTGTTAATGACTGCGTTATTTCTGTTCCATCATATTACACACAAGCTGAACGTCAGGCATTGCTTGATGCTGCACGAATTGCTGGTTTAAATGTTCTTAGATTATTTAATGAAACAACAGCTACTGCTTTGTGCTATGGCATCTATAAGCAAGATTTACCAGCACCTGATGCACCTCCGAGAAATGTAGTCTTTGTTGATTGCGGCTATGCAAGCTTACAAGTAAGCATTTGTGCATTCCACAAAGGAAAACTAAAGGTATGTAATGATTTTTATTACCTTAGTAGTAATTATCTTAACTGGTATTAATAGTTATATACTTGCAAAAACAATAAAATTATTATGATATAATCGTACATATTATATAAATGTTATATTTTATTTCTAGATGATAGCTAGTACTTTTGATAGTCAATTGGGTGGAAGGAATATAGATTCTATTTTAGCAGAACATTTTTGTAAGGAATTTCAATCACGTTATAATATTGATCCGCATAACAATCCACGTGCATATATAAGACTACTAGCAGAAGTAGAGAAATTGAAAAAACAAATGTCAGCCAATTCAACGATGCTTCCTCTTAATATTGAATGTTTTATGGATGAGAAGGATGTACATGGTGAAATGAAACGAGCAGATATGGAAGCAATGTGTGCACATTTATTTAAACGCGTTGAATCCACTTTACGTCGATGCCTTGAAGATTCTAGTATGTTCTATTTTGCATTTAATGTTGTTACACACGTAGTTTAATTTTGCATAAAATATATTTTCCGTTAATTATATATTAATCTGCAATACCTTTCGTAGAATTAAAGTTGGAAGACATTCATTCAGTTGAATTAGCGGGTGGTTCTAGTCGTGTTCCTGCTATCAAACGGTTGGTTGAAGAAGTGTTTGGTCGTACTGTATCTATGACATTAAATCAAGATGAGGCGGTTTCACGAGGATGCGCACTTCAGTGCGCGATGTTGAGTCCCGCTGTTAGAGTTCGTGATTTCTCGGTAACTGATATTCAACCGTATCCCTTGAAATTAACGTGGGATCCTACTCAAGGGGAAGACGGGTACATTAATATTCGCATTTTATGTATAATATTAAGGATATTTAAATAAGGACACATTTTTCTGATTTTTGTGCTATTATTTTAGTGAAATGGAGATCTTTGGACACAATCATTCTGTACCATTCTCGAAAACGTTGACATTTTATCGATCAAATCCATTTACACTCACTGCAAGTTATACTATGCCATTAGCATCATATCCTCGAACTCACGTTGGTAAGCATTTAATTCTTTTTATTATTTAATAATTCTTTCTTATTACTTAACAGTAGCTTACTATATAAACAACATTTTTACAGGTACATACACAATAAAGAATGTAAAGCCAACGCCAGAAGGTGAATTGTCGAAGGTAAAAGTAAAAGTGAGGATAAACTTGAATGGAATTCTTACTATTGTGTCGGCTTCATTGATCGAGAAACGTGAACTCACACAACAAGAAAAAGAAGAAGAAGAGAAACAGCAACAGCAGCAACAGCAAAATAACATGGACGTTGATCAGCAGCAAGACAGGAAAGATAAATCTGATCAAGAAGCACAGGCAAATGAACCACCAGCACCTGAAGTATGTATATTCATTGTTACTTCACCTTTCATTCAAATTATATGTATTCAAGGTCGTTTTTTATCAACTTATGTGTAATAATATTAACATTTAGTATAACATTTACTTTGTAATACATTCATAAAATTATATTAACTTAGGGTCAGGTTTATCTAACTGTTTGTTGAGCTAAATAATAATGGTATGTCCAATAAAATAATACTTAAAAAAAAAAAGGTTTATTGCATAAATAACAATTATACTACAACGAAGTGTAAATTAAATGGAAACTCATTAAATTCATTCTTTGGTATACACTTTTGTAGAAGAACAGTACTCATGCTTTGAATGTCTGATGCATGACTATGTGAGTTTGTTGTGGTTTAGGTGAGCATGGATAAAACGCGACGGAACTCAGATGCTGATGATGGTGGAAGAGGTGCGGGGGGTTCTGCCCCTTCCTACTCCTCCAGGATTCTCTCTTGGCTCAGCTCGGTACGCGACACACTATCATTACTTGGACCCATATGTTAACTGAAACATGTGCAATAATTTATGACTTTTGCTTAGGTTGTTCTATTATTATAAGTCATCGATGGTTACACGAATACCTTGTCGCGTGTAAAAGTGGCATAAGACTTTTATTTCTTTCATCACGTCAGCATCGTCAATTACTTGTTATAAGATCATTGTAATCATAAAATGAAATGTCCTGCATGATATGAGATTCGCGTGCTACTACGTATTATATATGTTACTATTCACTGTCTCAAAATGGAAAAAAAAAAAAAAAAAGAAAAAAGAAAAAACATTTTCTTAAGCACATTTTATCATTTTAAAAGAACTAAGATCTGAAAATGTTAGGTTCGTTTGCAATGTAATTGCTTGTGATATGTCCCTATACTTATTTAATATTTCGAATACATTGATAAATTAATCAAATTCTATTGATTCGTGTATATCTAATATAAATTATTTATGACCTAGAAGTTTCCTACACATTGTAGTTTCTTTAGTGCATGATATTTAGTTATATTCAAAGGTTTTAAGTCTGTGTCGATTTCTTCTGCAAACTCGGTTAATAATAGCAACGTATAAGAGAAAATAACGCAGTCAGAATATTTAATTTGAAAACGATTATCAATATAAACATATGCATATTATAATCTCGTGCAAAGTGTTACGATGCATATGGGTCCAAGATACAGCTGTGTCACGCCGTGCTGTCTGTCTTTGCTCAGTTACTTTTCTACTGGGTCGCAGAAGGAAAAGAGACAGTAACTTTTTATAATGCAATAGCTATCAATGTGCTAAAATTGTGAAGGCAGGCAATGCGGTTCGGTTTTCGATTCGCATATTTTATGTGAATGTTCTTTTCTATATAACTACGTAATATATCTTGAAGTTGAAGTAAGACGAATTGAAAACTGCTCGCATAAGTATAATGCCCCTCTTTATCCTCTACTCATTTCTATCATCACCTGACTTCCAGTTTGTGTGCCTTGGTTTAAAATATTTCAGTTTTATTATGACATTATTATATTTATTTTATTCTATTGTGTGTGATTACGAATTATTACATTAAGAATAAGAAATCATTTTTAATGTTCTTATGAATGCTAGATAAAAGAATTAACATAGAATGTTTTATATGTATTTCTTTCGTTAGTATTTATAATAATAAAAAAATAAATTTTAATATAAATTGTAGATATGTATAGATAGATAAAAATATTTCATTTGGATATCTTATTATTTTTGCAGGGCGACGATAAAAATGACGAAAGTAAAGGTAAAAAGAAAGTTCCTATTCGTACCATTGATTTACCGGTGGATATGTGTGAATACGGACTTTCTCAGCGTGATTTAGATGCCGCATTGGAAAAAGAGGTAAATTATGTTTATTACGTTTATTTAATTGTTAGTACATTTTTTATAATTCGTATATTCTATATTAATATGTCGGAGATGAAAGGACATCGGAGCCTTCCCTTTGGAACTTCGGGAAAATCCCCTAACACCGTAATCTAGATTCTATCGTAGGCGTAATTAAACAATTGTCGTCTTTCGATCCGATTGTATTTGTTCGAGATTTGTGATAATGAGCTTGGGCTTGAGGCGACAGCCTGTCGCCGAACGTAGCCGCGATCACGGGATGAACGCTTTGCCTAACAAAGGTATGGAGTAATTCTATAGCTCTCCTTAAAAGAAATATTTGTAGCGGCACGCGACAGTAAACAT